AAGTTCCACATTGTTCACTTCCACCGTACATATGCCAATATGCCAGCCTATTAAAAGTATAAATCAGATTCATTTGATCATTGAGATTCATATGAATATTTTTTACAGAAATTAACAATTTTAATTTTAATTTCAGTTAAACCATTCATGATACGACCTCCAGAAGATATAACCGCTTTGGTTGGGACAGCTGTGGATTTTCCGTGCTACGTTGGAGGTGACCCAACTCCAGACGTTCTATGGCGTAGACAAGCTCCAGGTGGAACCATGCCACTTGGTAGAGTGCGGGTACTTGAAAATCGCACACTCCGCTTAGAAGACGTTACCCTCTTGGATCAAGGAAGATACACGTGTGACGTAGATAATTTTGCCGGCGTTCTAAGCGCAAGTGCTGTTCTAACAGTGCATGCCCCGCCCACTTTCACCACGAGACCTTTGGCTCAAACAGTTGAGACTGGTCAGCAGGTGTCCTTTCAATGCCATGTAACTGGTAGTCCGAAGCCTTTGATATTTTGGTCTTTTGAAGGGGATAGATCATTAATTTATCCGGGATCTTCGGCAGGAAACTTTGAGGCTTTCACTTCAGTCGATGGACAATCTTCATTGATACTAAAAAATGCGCAAGTGCAAAACTCTGGCACAGTTATAATTTGTTCAGCAGTTAATGAAGCAGGCTCGATTTCCACCAGAACTCGACTAACAGTGACTTCCAAAGAAGACAGGCCTCCGCCCGTAATCATTCGAGGTCCAAGTAATCAAACTCTTCCATTACACTCAGTAGCATATCTTATTTGTGAAGCGAGTGGCACGCCAAAGCCTGTGATATCATGGTATAAGGAAAGTGTACCAGTTTCATCTTCCAGTAGAATAAATATGACGAACCCTGGACAAGTTGAACTATACAATCTATCTAAAGAAGATTCGGGAGCATACACTTGTGTCGCCTCATCAAGAGGAGGCAAGGCTACGTGGACTGGGCATCTTCTAGTTGATAATCCCAAAAATCCAAACATTAACTTCTTCAAAGCACCTGAAGTTGTGATGGTGCCAGGCCCACCAAGTCGACCTCATGCGCTTAACCAATCAGAAGGAAGTGTAACTATCACGTGGGGGCAAAATAACAAAATCGGATCGTCTAGTCTGTTGGGTTATCAAGTGGAACTATTTGGGAGAGAAGAAGGTGTAATCCCAACCTGGACAATAGTGGCTAAAAGAGTGCCAGGCCCTTCATTCACACAACATTTATTATCACCTGGGGTCCCGTACACATTCTTGGTGAGAGCTGAAAACTCGCATGGGATTGGCCCCCCGTCGCCACTCTCCGAGCCAATCATTGTCGGTCCTGATCTCGGACAAAATTGGGGCAGTCCCGATTCTGTTCTCAGTGAAGCTAGAGCAAGTTTAGTCACAACTAATATAATTAAATTGACAGATGCTATTCCCGTATCGTCCACAGCAGTAAAATTGGCTTGGGAAGTTACAGACTCAACATATGTTGAAGGATTGTATATCTACTATGTTTCCGTTAACGAACAGCCAGAAACTCCAAAGAGTTATAGCATGCTCACTGTACTACACACTGGAGCCTCAAGCAGTTTTACAGTAAACAGCTTAAGTAAATGGACCCGATATGAGTTTTTCTTGATACCCTTCTACAAAGCAATTGAAGGCCAACCTTCCAATTCCAGAACTGTTCGGACTTTAGAAGATGGTAAGGTTATGATTGATTGATGCGAGATTAATAATGATGAAGCTTTATTTTCAGTTCCACATGAACCACCAATCAACATGGAGGCTCTTCTCCTCAATTCAACAGCAGTATGGCTGAAATGGAAACCTCCCCCATCAATTCATGGCGAATTGGAAGGTTACAAGATAGAAGTGAAGACCAACGGATCGCTCACCCCAACTCTGATTAATGTTGGAACAGCGCCGACTTTTCTTCTGGGTAATCTTACATCAGGAGTAGTATATTATATAAAAGTAGCTGCTAGCACTCGCGCGGGAGTCGGACCGTTCAGTCCAGCTTCAACTTTAAGATTGGATCCTGCTTCCAGAGTTACCGACAACAGCTTACCGAGGTATGTTATAGTAAAAATATGAGTTTAGTTTGTTTACTATAGGCCTGGGTAACACTGTGTTGAGTTGCGCTTTTGAGTTTCCGCTCTCTGAGTTATAACTCATCGATTAATGAGTTATAACTCTAACTTAACTTAAACTAAATGAGATTAAAGCTGTACGCAACCCTAGACTGGAATTTTAACATTCGGAGTATCGGTATCGGAGTATGCGGTTTTTCCGGTTTTTGATCTAAAACTTTTGGAGAAAATTTAGAATTCTTCAGACCGATGAGATTTTCAATGAGTTTTCCAAACAGTTGCTCTGTCTGGTCGCTTTTTGGAAAACTAATTTTTCCGAGAAAAAAAACAAGCGAACTTTGTTTGGACTTTGTCCCAAATTCAAAGGTAAAACGGTCATTCGAAAAAAACAGCAAATGAAGGAAAAGAAGACCAAACTATAAATACGCCCAGTTTTCTTGTGAAATCGATGTTTGATTTTTTTAAATTCAAATACTCTGCCACAGTTTAGAAAGAGTTTTGCGTAGAAATATTGACCGAAAAGGGAAGAAACCGGAATTAAAAATAACTAAATTATTCACAGCGACGAAGTTGGCAAACTTTCCAAATAATTGATTATAAAATTTCTTTTTTGGAAAAAAACCCAGAAAAAATTATTAGGGTTTTGTCCAAAACTCGAAGCTACAAAAGTTTTAAAAATAATCTTCACAACACGGTTAAGGAGGGGGAGTGTTCAAATAGAATATATTTGATAATTTTTCACAAAAAATACCTGAATATTGTCAGTGTTTTTAAGTAAACCTTTGGAAAATAATGCGTTTCTTGCTTAGAAAGATTGCTGAAGAAAAACTTTGCTAAAACTGGAAAGACCTGAAATTTTAAATAAACTTTAAAATTCTTCAGAGCGATAAGGGTAGCGAATTTTCCAAATAATTTTTGTAGTCTTTTGCTCTCTGGTCATTGTTTCAAGATAATCGTAATTACTTTGGGAAACAAGTAAATAAAATTATTTGGTTTTTGTGCTAAATTCGAAGATCAAAAAGGTTTTCTAAAATCTCCTGCAAAGCGATGCATAAGGCCAATTTTCTAGCAACATTAATTGTGTCGTTTTTGGCTGAAAAGACTCCTTGGCTGTCGGAAAGAAGAGAAAGGCATCAGAAAATAATGGATTTTTTGCGCTTTCGATTAAAAACTTTTAGTTTTGTGATCGGTTTTTCGGAAAACCTTAATAATTTTCCGGAAAAAACGGGAAAACTTGTTTTGGTTTTTGTCCCGAAAAGGTGTTTGTAAAATTCCTTCAAAGCTATAAATTTATCTTGTAATTTTTCGCGACAAATACCTACCTCCAGATTGTCAGTCATTTTAAGTGAAACTCTTCAAAATAGAGCGCTTTTGAGTATAAAGTAAAGCAAGAAAAAAATTCAACCAAAACTAAAAATCCACAGTTTTTAAACCAACTMTACAGTGTTCAGAGGRATGAGGGTGATGAGTTGTTATAAACTTTCTGTTATATTCTGTATGTCTTTATTCTGTTCGCTTTTCAATAAAAAATTAGTTAATTTTGTCCTAAATTTGAAGCTGGAAAAGGATTTAAATACTTTTTACGAAACGACGAAGGAGGCGAGTGTTGTAATAAAACGTATTTTAAAATTTTTCACGGAAAATATTCTTAGATTGTCAGTATTTTTACATCAAACATTAGAACAAAGAGCGATTAGAAGAAACAGTAACTTTGCTGAAACTGGAAAATTCCGAAAGTTTGAAAAAACTAAAAATATTGTTAATAAATGGTCCTTAAAATAAATCGAAGAACAACTTAACAAAAAGGGCAAGTATTTTTCGCTCGAATGGCATAATCAGTATAGTTTTCCWTGTTSTAATACGGTGATTCCTTCCAATGCTTTGCTTTTTGGGAGTTTCTTAMGTTMCSGTTGYCTTTTTGAAAGTAAACGTACTTAAACWTTAATTTTTACTTACATTAGGTTTCCCATAAATTGTCTAWAAATGCATAAACTATACGCTCTTTTTTGGCTATTACTTATTGAATGCCGTTGCTTGAAAAATTATTTAACCAATCGCTCACAATGTTATGAACATAATTTTGTTTTTTGCAGACCAATAGGCCCAGGCATGCAATCCGAAAACTTTGTAACTGAAACATGGTTTATGGCACTTCTAATAAGCATGATCTCAGTAATGGTTGTTCTATTTGCTGCCATGTTTTTCGTACGTCGAAGGCAACTTCTATCGAAAAAGGCGATGACTCCATCGAGATCCAATGGTGGCGTGCTTAGCACTCCGCTGGCTTCCAAGCAAGAAGCACCTTTATGGTTGGACAAAGAAATTCCTGATTATGCCGCTACTTACCCGGAATATTCTAAGCTAACGCCAAACCAGGAATACGCTCAAAGATCCGAATACTCAAATGGTAGTTTACCGCAAAGTAACGGCAATCTTTTGAATGGCAATATTAACCTTCACTCCAATCCGTTGCATTTTAAAGAACAATATGCTACAAGGCCTGATAAATTGGAATACAGTTCAGAAAGTGGTTATCCAGTAGGCAGGAAATACAACGACTACAACTTACTGCAAGTTCAAGAATATGCAAGTCCAAATGTAGGAAACGATCGAGGCTCTCAAATAGCGGATTATGCGGAAGTTGATGCCAGCGTCGTCAAAAACAACGGTGGCGGAGCTTCTTCACCAGCTCCTTATGCGACAACCACTCTGGTCACAGGTAGCAGAAGACTTGTAAGTGTATCTTTTGATATTAAACGTTTTATTGTCAGGTATTATAGGCCTGCAAGTGAATGGCAAGCTAGTAGTTCGAATTTTAAAGTTTACTGTACGTTAAAAATAATTTTACCAGATCACCTAACAAAACGTTATTTGCATTTGAGAAAGCAGCTATTTGCCGCTGCCGATGATCCAAACATACATTGTGCTATATTCTATGAATATTTTTTTCCATAAGAACCAAAGAGTCTCAGACTTAATAACGTCTTTCTTTAACTGGTTGGGACAATGAGCATCAAACGTGGAAGTCGTCCAAATTTGCTAGAAATTATACACTGATAATATGACTATATACCCAATATCACTAAAGATTATTTTGAGAGCTTTAGAATTCTTTTCGCCCAAGTTTTTTAGAAAGTTTTGTTCAAAAATGAATCATTAATGCATGAAAAATTATTTCTGAGGGAAAGCCTAACGTTCAACACGGGGCTAGAGAATTATAAAGCTGTCAAAATAATCTTTAGTGATATTGGGATATATATATTGCAAAAATATATTTGCACTTTTCAGCTATGGAATCCTCCATCACTATCAACAGACGATGAGTCTCCCTATCCATCATCAAATGGCGGTTACTATAACAGAAAAGTGTACTCGGATTCGTACTTTGCCCCTACTCATACATTAAGGCGTAACAAAAAAGATCACCACAGCCGTAAAAATTCGCAAGACAGTAATCCTCCCGATATTGTGTCCCCAAATAACAGTATGGGTCAGCCAGTTTACGCACGAGTTGGACCTCCAGCTTTATCCTGGAGAAATGGATCTCCAGCACTAACCACCTTTACCCCGACAGCCAATAGGCATGTTTATCATGGATCTTCTAGAAGCGAACCTGGAAGTATGTTGTAAAGTTCTTACTGGACTCTTATTATGAAAGTGTGATCTTTCCATTGGTCCGCCATACAACCCATCAACTAACGGTATACGTAAACTAAGACGAATCGAAAAAATCGAATCAAATTAACTGAAGCCGTCGAAATACAAAATGAGGCCTTGCCAAGTTTAGTTGGAAGCAATTTGCACAGGAGCTTGACATCAATATAAAGTCCATAGGTCTAGAAGATTTAAACAAAAAGACTGCAATGCAGATGAAAAAGATGTCTGCTAAAGCTAAAAAAATTGCCCAGCATAATTTAAATAACATAGAACATCTAAGCAGAGTTCATTGTTTTCCATTAGTTTTAAGCGCATTGGCTGCAGTCGACTACTTTTTCGTAGGTTTAGCTAAATCAACGAATGCTGATCTAAAGTAAATGTTTCAGAAACTTACACTGCCGACTATTTTCCACCTATCTTGTTTTAACATTCACTGCCTAAGCCTAATTTTTGAGGTCTCAAATTTTTTCATTCCTTTGTAAAAAGTAGGAGAACGCACAACCGCCCCTACCCACAACTCAATTTCCATAAGGAGATTTGTAGGTGCTAAGGTACTGATGCTAATTTTCACATCAAATGTTTTAAGTGTGCTTTTGGCACCAAAACTGAACTCTTCAGAATTGTTTCCCAAAAGCCAAAAAAAATCAATTAAATATTGCTCGTATAATTGTTGGTACGCGCTACATGAGCCACAAACTATAAGAAGTCTTTCGTTATTTATTTTTTAGATCACCGGTTTCAAATACTCTCCGGTTTTTACCCCAATTTTGCAGCAAATTCAAAATACGTATAAATGATTTTATTTCATAGAAATGTCACTTTATGTATTGCTCCCTTTTTATGCTCTAATAGCAAGTCAAATAACGGCCAACTTCCATTCGATTTAAATTCAGCCGAATCGACATGATATATGTTCAGACTGTGCACCAAATTAAAAAAGTATATGGTTGACATGTATTTTCAACTTTTTTGTTTCCGATCTGAAAAATGTATTTGCATACGATTTCCCGAATATTTTACCAAGTATTTATAATTATACACGGTTGACTGCTCGCATAAATCGAAACAGTGAAAGGAAATCGAAAATTTAATACGAAAGAGGTCATAACAGATATCTTGCAACAAATGCAAATCAATTGAGCCCATCTTCAAGTCAACTTTAAATATATTGAGGTAGTGTTAAGGAATATGTTCACATAAATTAGGCTGAAGGTTTTTTAGGCGTTTTACAATCAGGTGAAACGACATTCATAGAAAATGTTTTTGGATTAATCGAAAATATCATGAACAACAGAAATGTTAATGCTCTTATTTCCGTACATCAAAAAATTAATATTTGATTTATTTGTATATGAGCAACTCATTTTTGAAAAAATGTAGTTTCTGTAAAAATTAAATGTTATTATTACTACGTAAGGCGTTTAAGTGAAGATCTTTGTGTAAATATCTTTAATTCTGTTGAAAATCTGCAGGCAGAAATAAAATAGTTTACATTTCCATTATGCAGAAGTAGATATGCTATGAATAAAATGAAACTTACAAAGAATCGCAATGAAGATTCACCTTTCAGTGGTAAAAGTTGCAGCAAGGAGAGCAGCAGCAACAACGGTAAATTTGTCTCCCGCTGATTTAAATCCATGCATGATCGACTGAAGTTTTATTATTTGTTTTTTTGACCGGCGGCTGTTGAATAAAAATCTTCACGAAGGCACTCAATGATCAGACAGATCAAGTTGTGCTGGATTTCTACCAACTGAAAATGCTAAATTTTGTCCGTAGGTTTCCAGTTTTTTTTCGACCGTTTAAGTTTCGTCAATATAAAAAAATGGGAAAAATAATTGATTTCCTTGTGATACCGTCTGAACACATTTGCAAAATTTAATTCGCACAAAAGCTCAAAAGCCTTAACGGAACATGATGGATAAAAAAATGTGCCCTTTTAAAAAGCTTTTACATATTTGTGACTGTATTGAATATGCATAAAAAAACTAATGTTTTTTTTCAAATGAAAAAAATTCCGATACAAAATCTCGTTCGTATATGTATAGGGATTAGAATCAAAGTATTTATTTTATATTTTTTTCTAAATTGGTTAAATTTTCGTATTTTTACCAGTGGGATCTGGCTAGTAATGCATCCATAATTTTCTCGCAGATCAGAAGAAACAAATATTGTTAAATCGAATGTTCCAAATTATAACAATATTCATTTGAACCTGTATATTTTTATCTAGAAATTAAAATGTTGCGACAATTGAAAACAAACATTGAAAAAACTGCGCAGCTCGCCCCAATTCTTGTTATGCTACAAACGTAGGACCGTGAAACAATATAGAAAACTTGTAGTAAAAAAAACCGAAGGAAAAGTAGAAAGAAAATTTCTCGGTGATAAGAAAACTGATCAGATCAGTAATAACTCCAAAAACGGTGGAAAATTTTAGATAGCAATTTGTGTCAGTAACCAGCAGTTTCAACGTATGTAATCAAGTCCTTTCGAATAGTTGTTGGTCATCCAGTGCGTGATTGCTTTACCATTATAGTTTACAATTTATGTAAAATACGCCAGCAAGGTTTTACGTTAAGGCCTTATCTTCATTAATTTCACGATCGGAAGCGAAAATAATTGTTGAAAAGAAAAATAAATACCTATACATATTTTATTTTCAAACCCAGAACAAGAAGTTGTTCGGGTGCCGACCTATAGTTCAATTTGCAGAGCAGGTCGTGTGTAGGGGCTTTAAACCAAACTCAAAGATTTTCACAAGTACATACTTCAAACACCCAATGTAAAATACAAACTGATCCTGCACATTAGTAGGTGTAAGTTATTATTAAAAATTGTTATATCGCAATTATAGGAAACTGGTACCCAGATTTAACGATGCAAGTCAGAAAATGTGCATAGATTAGTCGAAATGAGATTAAAAATGTATATTGACCTAGAACAATACATCTCACCTTGCCACAATGAACATAATATCTGAATTGCATATTTCGATTGTACATACATATGTATTAGTTTTACAAAACATTGTGATACCTAAAACAACACTGTAGCTCTTTCAAGTACATATTGAAGCAGTAGCAGACAAAATAAAAAGAAGCAATGTACTTCATTTGAGTCTCATAGATGTTTGAGTACTACACATGTTAATAAAGAGGGAATCCCTAATTACTGAGACATGTAGTTCTAAGGCCTACTAATATAAAAACTCACTAACGAAACGTTAGTTTAAATTTAAGTCAGTAATCTTCCTGTAATGGCTATGAAGCTTTAAAAGGTTATTTCCGAATATTTAATAAACGGTTAAAACAGAACCGTTTCCTTAACAATTAAACACATCGGCGTTTAATCATTTTTAATACAGGGTGTCCCGAAATTGTTGGTCGACAATCATAGCGCGGAGAGAAAACCTGAAAATAAAGCCAGTACTTCATATAATAAATTTTCCGATCTGGCTTGTTGTTAGGATTGTTACTTTTTATTTACCTTAGTTAAGAATAGGTTCAATTCTAAGGTTCGATTTTATTTTCACATACGTATTACTTTTAAAAGTATTATTTGTATCACTACAAATTACAAAAAGTGTTTTATCTCAAAAGCCGTAATAGATATAGAGAAAAACAAGGTATACTTTTTCTGGCGCAAAAAAGGGTTTATCTGGTTGATCATATCCCCAAATTTGGGAACCCCGTTAAATTTGGACTCATTTCAAAAGTAAATTTTGACCGTACCTGTACAATAACAAAATTTCGGATAAATTTACAATTCAAAAAGACGAGTATCTATGAACTACTTTTGCTACAAAAATTGCACGAATGGCTAATATACGGTGCAATAATTAAGAATAAATTTCAACTTTTCACTTTGAAGGCCCATAATTCCATAAGATAGCCAGATTGGACTTTTTAAAATATTTTCAGGTCTTCTGTTGGCCCTATTATCGTTGACCAACAATTTCGGGGCACCCTGTATACTTACCAGATGAAAAATAATAATTTAATAATAATAAAAGTTTGCAGCTACGCACGCAGTAAATATTTAACATCTTTTTATCCCTAAAATTTTCCAGGGCAATCTTAGAAGCGATCATTAAATGAATAATTTTAATGTAAATAAATTCCAAAAACTGAAAACTAACTACAATCTGTTTGAAAGGCAACTTGCAATCATGTGAAGTGGCTCATATAGATCACAGTTGAAAATACCCATGTATATGTACATTATATAGATTATACATAGTGTTAACTCTAGTAAGACGCTAGGTTAAACTAAATCTCATAGTACTTATTATGATGCTACGATCTGAATACCCTCTAATTTTAAAGCGATTTGCATGGCATTAGCAATAGTTTTTAAGGATCGCAAGCAAAAGAAGTAGTTTTTATTCAGTTATCAAATTTTCATTTCAAATTACTTCTCTGATCTTCAAGTTCAATCAACAACCTTTAGTTGGACAATAAGCAACAACAGCTGCCTATCGGAAAATGTTACACTTTTTAGAAAACTCCTGCGACTTATAAATTAATGAACTTGCTGGATATCGTAAACTTAGGTCAATACGCATCACTTTTTGCAACAAATAGTTCTACATATCCGTGATTTTATTGTATATAATTTTCTCAACAAGATTATTGAGAGTACAGAAATTGATAATCAATTAGACCGATCAGAATTAATTTATTTGCAAAAGTGTTTTGCAAGTGAAAAAAGTTATAATAATTAATAAACCGCTACTTATTGACCAATGAAAATGAAGTTTCTAAAGTAAAAACGTGTTTAGTTTTAGCCTAAACGTTAGATCGTTTCAATTCAATTTACGTATATGTAGTTATCTAATATAACGACAGAGGCAATTAAAACTTTTAAAACTGACTGATATTTTCCATTGTTTGAACAGTTCTGAAACTAAAACAATTAACTTCAGAATATAATAAATAAGTTTTAAAATAACGACTGCGTTAAACCAGACAAATGCTCAAAAAGTTAAGGTTTTCCGAGAGGCATTTCTTGAGTGAATATTTTTAAAATTTAATCCAATTTTTTAATTTAAACTTAGGAACAGCGGTCTTATGCAAATTGATTTCAAACTATCTATCACACACATAGCAGTCGGACATACTTACTATGTTGATGTGAGTTTCACCGGTTTCCTAGTCTGACTGAACAAAGATTTTGAAAATTTCAAGTGCCAGTAAATTAGTAAATATTAACTTCTATAGCGCTCCTATATATTATATTGTCACATATAACTATTGAGCAGTTCAAACAAAACCAAATGTGTGAGACCCAGTGTGAGAGCCATATAGATTGAAAATAGGAAACCAACTCTAGAGAAGACATCCAAAGCAAAGCAACAACAACTTACTGCAAAGTATTTCGAAACCAGAATCCATGCAATTTATTGAATCTACTTGTAATCGACGCAGCCTATCATGTAAAAGATTTGTTTATATGAAGAAGTGGTAGGTAGTTTTCAATAATGATAAACAAAATGAATATGTTTTTACTATTACTTAAACAGGACGTAAGCTAGTATTAAAACCTACGATCTACAAGCAATAATAGATACTTGGAACGTATACGTAATTGTTACTAAAAGTAATTAGCATAAATTATTCGCATAAAATGTTCATTCGTATTTAACTATAGGGATGGTTAGATGGGTTTAAATAGTGGGGATGCCAATGAGTTTTGTAGGGCAAGCCAGTTCATTCTGAATCCGAGTTCTATGTAATTATGTGCAAAACGTTAAAAGACAAATTTCAACTTTCCGAAGAAAATGAACTAAAATGAAAATACATTCATATTACACATTGGGTAAACTGAGCTAGGCATGGGTGGTAAGAGTGAAATTTCAGAAGTTGGTGCAGTGATACCGAAAGAGTTTGGTGCGCCAACCCAACGCACCGGCACAGTAACTCACTGGTGCAGTTGCGTTGCAGTCGCCCATTTGGTAAAACGCATAAAGAATGTGGCAAATCGCAATCGCAAATCTTTAATCAGCCCATGGGTTAAATACTAGGCGTAATTCAAAGTGTGGCACAGTGAGACGCGATGAGTTATAAAGAAAAACTCAGAAACCAAAAATGCTCTACAAGTTCAGGGTCGTGCGTTCAGTAAAGAAAAGTGCTAAATGTCGTCAACATTTTCTTCAAACCTTCAAAATTTCATTCAAATCACCTGAAATCCTGAATTTTGCGCGCTTCTTAAATGTTGATTTGAAAATGGATCTTAAAGATCCAATCAGCAGTTCGACGAAGTTTTAGTTACAGCTTCTTTTGCTTTAATAGAAAAACGGTGAAACATACTGGGTTCGATTGCTGCAGGTGATTCTGCAAATATTTAAATTCCAAGTATTATACCATGCGGAAATGTTTTTTAAAGCTTGAAAGCCCTAAAATGTAATATTATGTATATTAATATGTAACTATGTAATTGAATATTAAAGCTGTGTTGTACGATAAATTTCTAAGAAACTTAGTGTTAAGATAGAATTAAGTAGATTTAGATGAAGACTGATATTTTAAATGCTGAAAGTTTAATGATTAAAATACAATCTCACTTAAAAACGACTTTGAAGCTAAAACATTTCCTAATAGCTTAATTAATTAAATAGCCTAAAGGTTTTAAGTACCTATATTTTATTCTTGTATATTAAAGATACATGTAAGTATTAGTTTGAGTTAGATCTTGATAAAGTTAAAAATGTAAATTTGAACTTTCCGGTGTTTAATTTTCTTCTGTATGTATGTTTACTTTACTTCCAAACTAATCCCTTAGTCTAGTCGACATATTTAGTTAGTAGATTATATCCAAAAAGTGATATTCCCGCAGTAGGTTTGATATTCTAATTATAGCCAATGTAACATATAACATATCACCTATTATGTTTGTACATACATTTTCATTTTTTGTTTTTATATAATTCGCTTTTCTCCTAAAATAATAGTCCCTCCTTAGCATATAAACAAAAGAGTTAGCGAATGTACAGTGATTTTAAGGATTGAAATTATTTCAAAACGCGTTTGAATTAGGTCTTTGACTGCTCAAACGCCACTTGGTTTCTCAAGACTTCTTTCTCTATGTGTTTACAACGTAAAAATATTTCGATGCCAGTAGATAGTTTTTGAGTTAATCCTACTTTAATCCGCTTTAGTCTTCCCTTAAAATTTCCATAGAACGTACTTTTTAGCAATTTTAGCAAGTACCTACTACTCATGTTGTGCTCATATTTTTATATTATGTGCCATCGATTATCTTATACAATGTATGTACAGTATTTAACAATAAATAAGGTTTATAAATGAGTCTGGGCTTCTGGTTTTACTTGTTTTACTTATGTTGAACATTATCATTGGACATCAGACATAAACAGTGTAATAATTGTCTCAAAGGGCAAACAAATTAAGAAGTAGTGATTATTCGCTGCGACATCTAAAAGGAGATTAGTTCCTTAATAAGTAACACAGATCGAAAAGGTAGCAGTATGAGATAATAATAGCAATAGTACTTTTTAATTATTCACCGACGTTTCAACTTTAATTGAAGTCGTCTTCAAGGCTCAAATTGTGCGTGACTGTTATGTCTTAGAAACACTATTCCTAGTGAATGTATCCCCAGGGTAAGTAAGGCACAAATTATGTTTCATTCTCATAATATTTAATTCGCCTTTTATTATAGTTTGTTTTACTATATATGTATCTGTATAAACTAAATGGCCTTTTTAGAAGTGAACCATCGATAAGGAAAAGTTGCCAGTTTTCTCAAAAGAGTATTGATTTCAAGAAGTTTTAGGTTTGCGTGTTTTGTTTGAGTTGCAAAATCGATTCAAACATGACGCTGCCTTTCTCGAAGTTTCTCAGGCCCCATTTGACCCACAGAATTCGTATTGGCATCGTTGGATAGAGAATTGAAAATTCGATTCATATTCAACCTGAATGAGGAAATTCGAGTAGTTTTGACCCACAAAGCGAAATTTTAATATACGACAATTAAATGCAAAGATTATGCCAACATTTCATCGTGTCCGACCCGTTTTTGCTCATTTCTCGGGAGCAAAATGAGCAAGAACGCTCATTTTTATATCRTTCCAGRGAGAACTAAATAGCCTATTTAGAAAGCAWATATCTGGTAAGGAAATGTTGGCAGTTTGCTCAAAAGTCTTGATTTCAAGAATTGATGAGATAAATGTTTTACTGTATTAGTTTCTTCTTAGTCTWATTTGTTTTGTGTTGATACCTWTTGTCCTGATCCGTTACTTGTGGTGGTTCTGCCCAAATGAATCAAGGCTTTTTGTATTTTTTTCTCAAAAATGAGGTGTTTGACCGTCAATGGACATTCATTCGAAGTACGTTATATATACTCACTTACATATTTTTATTCCCAGTCGGAGTCTTGCATAGTTGTAAATGAGAAGCAACTTTGTAATGATACAAGTACGCATGTAAATAATCATTGAAAAAAATAATTCATGTCAAATTTCGGGTAAAATATCAATGCACCAGCATTATGTTTTTATTGTTACTATTTAAAAAATAATTGCTGTTCAATATTGGAATTCACAAAGTTAAAATTTCATTTCTCCGGTTGCTTGCTACGTGAATTAATTGAGGTCGTGTAATTGGCGCTTACAAGTCACTAGACAACCACTTGAATTTTTATCACCATGCTACCGGTTGYGATAAGAAACAGCGATAAGCACCATAGGCCGCCATTATATTATTCATGYAGATATTTATATATTGGGTGCYGAAAGTACTGTTTTATGTTATGACCGCAATTTRATGTTCATAGGAACAGGCCCTAAGCCAAGCATAGTAAATCCTTCTAACTAATTCCTGCAGATTAATCTGGAACTAAACGAGCTTTGGGTATTTTTAYTGTGWAWYATGCKYATMMAATGTWWTAYTATATKAMTAGYTTTCGACGGKATTTCTTAGTTGWGMATTGTGCWWATWMMWTKTTWTGAYTMWATTAMKAKTT